AACTTTGAAATCAGAAAGTATCGGATTTTCCATAATGATCTTCATTCGTATGTCAGCTGGAGGTACAAAACCAATCGTTGACTTGTAAGAGCTGATAAGATTCAACTCATAATAGGGCGTAATTGGGTGCCAGTGAGGTGTACAACAGAGCGATGAACATCACAGGCCTTGAAACCTTATCGACAAGGTCTCTATTTTCCGCATCATACAGCAACGCTTACTGCAAGCGGACAGGCCGGCGCACAAAATGCGAAAATTGTTGACGTAACGGTGAGTAAAGGAACGGAAAGTTTGTAACCGCTCAGGTGTAGGGTCTGCTCCCTGTGTTTCTGAAATTTTACACCACTTTACTACCATATGGATAACTAATATCCTTTCATACCGTATACGATTCTACTACGTTGCAGGGCGGTGTTAATTTCTGTCATGATGCCATTAGGCAGGATCGCTACGTTTTAAGATGATGCCAACCAACTCTGAAACCATCGATCAAAGACAATAATATTGGCATTGCATGCCCTGTCAATAGCCCAGGTAATTTTAAACGGCGAAAAGGTCAAACATGGCGATAAATACATTTATCCGGCCAAGAGATCAAGATGAGGCATGAACGGATTCGACGCAGAAACAGCGCTCAATGGAGTGAGTTTTCCTTCCATCAAGGATGACCTCTTCGGTAAGTCATGGATGAAACAAGCGCTCACTTCTTCGGTTCTACCGTCCTGCCAGCAGTGTTTTATGGCTGTGAGACGAGGTCATCGGGAAAGCCGAAGAGTGCGCCATCTGTAACCGAGAGAGGCAGGAAAAGTACAATATTTGGAATCTCACATCGCAGTCACATCCAAAACAGGGTAATCAGACAGCAGAGGATAGTGAAAGACGTCGTCATTGAAAGCGGAAGTTACGGTTGGCTGGACACGTAGCTGGGCTCACCGATGGGTGATGGCCGGCGATGATCGCCGACTTGTGCAATGCTGGAGCACTCCTCCGGTTGATCACCCTCCATCCAGAAGCTGGAACAGTCACGTTTGGAGGGAGAAGGCTCGAAACCGCGAGGAAAGACGAAAATGTTGATGTCGGTGCGATTCGTCCCCAGCAACTGGCCGTCGGTCCACAGTAGTGAAGACCACAAGTATGTGGTGTACATGTAGTGGACTGCTTCTTACCACACAATGACAAACATTTATCTGCTTCATAAGGTAGATATCATCCAAAAGTCGGATTTCATAATTCGCTCTTATCCCGCTCGTGGTAATGACCATTTCATGGTATTTAATTTATAAGTTAAATGGTTTATTATTTACGTTTGATTGAAATCATTTTTATTTTCGTCTCCAATAGGGGAACAGAACTCGGTAGTAGTTGGAGATCAGGCAGTATCAACTAGCTGCAGGTTTCCTGCCACAAATTGCACTGCCCCAGATTTTAAGGATGATCGGTGGTAGAGAAACAGCCTTCTAACACTCTGTTCAAACAGTCCATCATATAAGTTGAAATGCTCCTTTCTCTGTTTCATGATCATGCAGATGAGGCCACTACTGATCGCAAATTTAAAGCCGATCGGTCTGTTTCAAGTATATCATTTAGGACGACAGCATACTAAAGCACAGTGAAGCACAACACCATGTCATGAGATTAGAGGCGAGATGCCCGCATAGAAGCCAACTGGTGAAAAACAAAGACCCTGGAAGCAGTCACCGTGAACGGACAAAAAGCAAGATTAACACATACGAAAAAACTTTAAAAAAAAACATCATGTCCAGCATTACTTCCGGTGTTACACGATTAACCTGTCAATCAATTTCGTGTCTCTACAAAACTTATCACCATGCTCTCATAAGCTTCCTCTAATACTGAAAAATGCATACGCACCAACAAAAATCACCACCCGGGCATCGTAACAGCTCGTCATACAAAAAGCAAACGGGATGATATCTACAGCAAGTTTGACCTTACCCACGGGTGGCTCGTCACCGTGAAGTGCAGAATCGTAGTGGGTTTAAACTGAGTTTAAATTCAGCACTGGTTGCGCACTCGTTCAACTCAAACTAAACCATCTAATTAATTCAAATGGAAAATCTATCTAAACATACTAGTAGAAGCACACCACCGTATTACGGGTTGTTGACAAACGGCAACATTCAATGTCGCCGACAACAACAGCAATTTTCTTTAACTTCTCCGGATTCGTACGGCGGAAGATGTCTACTTTTCGAGACATGTTCATTGGTATTTGAATGTGCTGTAGTTCCACACAACAATTGGTGTCGTTTTGCTCCCACGCAATGCAGGTGCTAAAATACCATTGAGTCGTGGCCTGCTTAAGCAGTTCCCTCACTATTCTACTAGAGGCAAGGAGAACGGTGCGATTAAGTGCCACCCTGTCGCCGGTGACAAAACATTGGCTAATATTTTGTAAATAATCAAAAATAGTCTAGATAATTTCGAAAT